AATTTTCCACTTTCCAGATTCTGGGCAACAACAGCCAAGTTCAGTTGGAAATCAGTCCCACTCTGCTTCAGATCCTGGGCCAATCAGAGCCACTGCACCAATGTGGCGATGCAGCAGAATTATGCATATGCAGCGAGAATTACATCCAACACTTTTGTCTTCTCTGGAAGGCATTGTAGATCAGATGGTCTGGTTCAGGGAGAATTGGCATGAAGAGGTATTTGGCTTTAATACACCTTCATATGTGTGTATCATCTAAGGAAAAGTTAGCTGCAAAATATTTATCTGGGAATTATTTTTAAACATTAAACCATAACTATTTGTTTTGATTAGTAAACTGATGTATTTGTAGAAGTCATTGTTCTGATTGGAGTTTTAAGGAGCTTGGTTATTTATGGAAGGAATACAGAGGTTTCCCAAAATTATTAACTTGATGAATGCCTCTAGGATTTAAGCTCTTGCTTGTACTAACTAAAAATTTATATTCTTACATTAAGTTTCACAGATACCAGTTTCCTTCTTGATCTAGTGGTGTGTGACAGGTGGTGATTATTGTCCAAAGTTTGAATTATAACAGAGAGCGGATGGATATGCCACTCCACTTTTATTTGCCTCTCAAAGTGTCAGGCTATTCTGTTCTGTCTACCTAGCACAGTGTTTGTTTGAAGAAAGATTCCTCATATCACATCATTTTATAATATATCACAAAATATGAAATCTAAAACTTAGCTGCTGTTGAAAGAGCAAGGTGTACTTTGTGATGCAGCATTTCCACTGCTCAGTTTGTTCGTTTGCAGTGCTAATAAGAAACAGTGCTGTCATTCTGATTGACCCTGTGATGCAATTTAAAAATACAGTTTTAAATAAATGTTTCCGAGAGGATAACTTTACTATATAAAATGCGGTGTGGGAATAAATACTTGGTGTCAAATCAGAAGGCCTAATCTTCCCGATTATTTTGTCTTTTTTTTTTTTTTTTTAGGTTCTTAGACAACTGCAACAGGGCTTGGCGAAGTGCTATTCAGTTGCCTTTGAGAAAAGTGGAGCCGTTTCAGATGCCAAAATCACTCCTCACACACTAAACTTTGTCAAGAAGTTAGTCAGCACTTTTGGAGTAGGTCTTGAGAATGTCTCCAATGTGTCTACCATGTTTTCTAGTGCAGCCTCAGAGTCACTAGCTAGGAGAGCACAGGCAACAGCTCAAGATCCCGTGTTCCAGAAGTTAAAAGGGCAATTTACAACAGGTAAATGTTTAAAGTGTTTTTTTAAATGTTACTTTTAATCTCTAGAGAAATTCCCCCCTCCCAAAGTTCAATTGTGAAGGCATTCTGCTTTTTTATTCTTCTTCCAATATTTTTCCTGAGAGAAAATACAGAAAACAGCGCCTTTCTGTCATTCAAAAAACCTGAAGTAGTTTGTGTGTTCCAGTGTTCTGTGGAGTAAGATTATTCAAGTGAAAAACAGACCTCAACATAGAGAATGAGTATATTGTTGTATTTTTGTAACCAAAAACTGGTCAAATCACATATATGTTTAAAGATAAATTAGATTACTTCACTATAATATTTTTGCAATTTGCGTAGAACTGCCTGCCATAGATGAGGGACAATAATGATCTCTATTTTATGGTGATGCCAGAATTTAATGTAATTTTCACTCCAGAACTCCGAACTGACAATATTGTGTGAAGTCTTTCAAAACAGCCTACTTCTGATGAGTAAGATTACTTTAGTGTTTTGAATAACTAGATTATAAAAATCCTATTACACAAATTTACATCATAGTTAGGTAAATTGAATCAATAACTTTAATCAGATCTAATAAAAAAAGATACTTAAGGGAAGTAGCTTTTTTGCTTCATTCGTTTTCTCTTTATCAGTGGAGTTACGTGTTTGAGTATCTGATGTTGATTTAAAATTCTGAGAAAAGCTTGTGTACAGTAGAGTGTGGTTTTGATATATTTGGTGAAAAGTGTTAAGGCCATGTGCCTGTATATGACAGAATGTGACATTGATTGGCATCAGTGTTTTGGATTGACAGGATTTTGAGTTTTGCATATATTCCTATCTAAACTACATCAGCTTTTCCTTAAAGGTAACTGTAGAATTAGATGAAAATGGGTAATTAAATATAGGTGTTGGGTTTTTTTTTAACAGAAGAATTCAAACTTATTAGTTGTTCAAAACTGGCAAGATAGAATTTTTGTGAAGACCTGGGTTTTCATCTTCTTCTGAATCTACTTTTCTCTTTACCCTACTGGGACTCTGACTTAGATGATTCTGGCATGAGTTAAAACTCTATCAGCTTAGCTTTTATAATGATTTAAAAACCACCCCCTTTCCACATCAAGCTGGTTCCTCTGCAAAAGTGAATCTTGCATTGAAAAGTTACTCTTTTTAGAATTCTAAGTTACATAAAGTTGCTCTGACTTAAAATTATTTGAGGTCAAAACAGCTACTGAGCATTTACAGAGTTTGACAAGTAGACTTGCGGTGTTTTTTCAAGCATTTGACTGATAATGTTGTGAAAATAAGTGAACTGATGGGAATCTGTGAAAGTAACTCAGTTGTAGATATGGCCTATATATCTTGTGCATGCCAGGTATTGCACGATGTCCTTTTTGAGGCACAACAGTTGCATGACAGCAGACAATGAAGGTCCTGAACCATATGATTAAATTTTTAGTGGATGAAGTGTACTAGGGAGGGAAATGGAAGTAGAAGAATTTTGTGTGTCTTTGAAGCTTACAGGGGGAAAAAATACATTTAATGACAGTTTAGACTTGTTTTTCATTTTTAATAATGGTTTATATGTCTTTACATTGCAATAGTACTATAGTCACTTTTTTATTGCTATAAGTGGTGTTGGTATGCTCAGTTTTTGTTGGTTTTGACTTATTTTTGGTCTGTCATAGTACCTCTTAGTTTCTTTCCTTTGAATGTTGAGAGATCTGGGGTTTCAGAATGTGTAAAGGAAAACTAAATAGAACACCAGGCTCAAGTCTGCAAAATCTAAAGTAATGTTTCAGCACATTTCTAGAGAAATAATTAGAAAGTTTAATTACAATTCAGTTACAGTTTTTAGTTAAAATAAAAAATGGAGAGGATTTTCAGTTTTTATATGCTGTTGTATATTTTTTACATGTCTTTTATGATATATAAATGACATTTAAGGTTTTCAGGTTTGCTATCTAATCATATCATTTATTAAAGAGTTGCATGGAACAACATATAAAATAAAAACAGCAACATAGGCCTGGACATAAAAAACATGTAAAGTTATAAAATGTGAAGTGTTTCTTAGTAAACTTCAGTTTAATAATAAGTAATTACTTTCCGTATTTTTTTTGTTGAAGAGTTCAGTTTTATTTTTCAAGTATGATTAAACATGAATGTCTACAGGATTAAAATAATTATTTTGCTTAGTACTAGATTTGATTTTATTTTAATCTAATAAACTCAGTGTTTTAATTCACAAATGAAGTGTGGGAAAACAGAAGAAATTAAACTGATCGATATAATTACGCATTTTTGTAATTGAATTCATTATGCAGAAGATGAAAATAAGTTTTTTATTAATTTTGCAATAACAGTAAAATGTACATAAATAAATGAATAGGATTGTAATTATTGTACTAAAGATAGCAAAGGCTGTTTTAACGTTATGAGAAACCATTTGTAAGCCATGCCTACTGTGTCCTTTTGTCACAGTAGAATGTTCCTGTTTGTTTTTTCTGATTCTCGGTACCAGTTGCATTTAGATGATGGACAGATAATTAGAGTGGTTGCCTTCCTTTTCAAAAGTATCCAAGCTGAGGAGCTGTCTTGGAGTAAACTGTTTTCTTCAGTTATTTCCAGATTAATGTTGACAGCTGTGTTTTATAGACACTTTCAACTATGTTTGGTTGCATAATCTCTTCCGCCAATGTCTGAGTTGCATCTTGATTCCTGTTTGGAGCCGCTGGGGACTCTCACACCATTTCTTCCATTCTAAATACTTTGTCTGCAGCCGTCTGGACCGTTGGAGCTTTGATAGGTCATCTTTTTCCATCCTAACATATATTTTAAAACCAAATTTTTCTTTGAATTTTTTTTCCTGGCACTTCAAATGCATAGTTCTTTGACCATCTGTTCTTTGTTCCTTCTCTCCTTTTCTGCTAAACCTTTAACATCAAAGAACAGGCAAATGCTGAGAAATGCTCCCTTTGAGAGCTCTCAGCAGTGAAAGGAGGAGAAAAACTGCCTCAATTGTTCTTTTGTGGGCAGATGATAGTTTAGAGTTTGGATCCTGCTTCTTTCTGCAACCATCTCTCCAACTGAAGCTGAATACGAATGGAAAATTCCAAAATACACTCTCAAAGGGCAAGATAATTTTCCTGAGAGTTTTGGCACCCAGCACAATGAATTCTCTACTGCGAATGGAAACTCTAATCAGAAGGAAACTTCCTGAAGTCTTACTATTTCTCTGAAGTGTGGGGAGAGGGCAGGGGGAAGAGCTCTGTTATTAATTTTCAGCTTTTTTTAAGGATTTTTTTTTTTCTTTTCTCAAGAATGAGCATAGCATCACTTGAGTAGCTCTTTCTTCTTGTTCAAAGTTTTAGGTAACAGGATGTTATCCAGAAAATTCAAATCAAGAGATTGGAGTTGGCATCATATTTGACCTTGGTCTGGTCTTTGCAGTCTTGGTTTTCTGGAGCTGTGTGGTAAACCAGAAGTCCTGTTTCATATTTCTGCTTGGCTGTCACTGAGATTTTTTTCATGTTTGTTGGTGCTTTCCAAAAGTTCTTGTGAGATTAAAAAGAACCTTTGCAAAAGTACGAAGTATATAGGTATCTGAATAATCACTTCAAAAGCAAGACAGCTCTCCTCTCTCGGAGAATGCTTGGATCTTCTTCAGTATCATATGTATAAAGGATTTGAACTGCTCTGCGAAGCTAAGCTTACATTTCAGTCCTAAGTGGCATCTTACATGATGGGTGTCCTGGCTCTTTAGTTGAAGATCCTTGGGTCGTGAACTTTAAGTATAATCAGGCTTTGCCTATGGTCAGAATAATTTTTAAAATCTTGCAAATGAACTATTGCTTGCTCTAAAAGCATTAAACATCTGTTACTTCTAACTGATGAGAACTATTTTCTGCCAGTGTAGCAGAAGGGGTTTTTTTAGATGTTAAGTCTTAGTTTGGAGGTGTTTTCTTTGTTTGTTTTTTAATGCTGTGTTAATGTTCTGTAGGTCAAGGGGTTTGGGGGGACAGGGGGGCATGGTACTCTAATTTTGCTAACTCAAGTGTATTCTTTTTTTGTGTTGCTTCATGAGAAGTGATGGTACAGCCCTCATTCAAAAAGTATTAAGCTTTATCTAGTTGTGTTAAGAACCATCAGGATTTTTTAGGTCTGTCTCACTGGCAGGAAGATTGTGCCCCCTGTTTGTCCTTTCATTGAGAGTGGCAAGAACTTGCCAATTATTCTGGGTTGGATAGATTCAGGTAGCACTTTTTGAGGCATTCAAGACTTTGAATGAACATGTTTGTTTGAAATACATATATCGCAGTGTAGAACCTTTAGCAGCACTGAGAACAGAGAGCAAGCTTCTTCAATTGCAGCCTGTATCACAGTCTTCTGTGAGTATCTTCATTAAAGATGAGGGGGTAAACTTCCTATTCTGTTTTGGAAAAGATGGTGTAAGTAGTAAGGTATTTTAGACCAGCATGTGTTAGCTTGAGAAAGATGTTCTCCAGTAGTAGAAAAGTACTGCTCCAGTACTGAAAAAGTGGATTTGTTTGAAACAAAAATACTATTTATATAGATTAAGATGTCTGCAAAACAGAGAGCTTTGTACACAAATAACGTCTGGTCTTGTATTTCCCTTTCTTCCAGCTGAAGTGATTTTTCTTCTCAGATGGACTCTCTGTGACGTGAGCAAAAAGACTAATTGAACTCTCTGTTTTTCCCATCTGCCGATGGGAAACAAAACAACAACAAAAATCCTAAAATAGGCATTTCAACAAACTAGAGCTATTCTCGTGGTGAACTGAATGACTTTTTGTAAGGAATATATATCGGTGCATATTTTTACTACTTTGGTGATTCACATTAGCACAAAAACTAGTTGCAATTTGGGGATACTTTCCTGCACTTCAGGGATTCAGGAGATTAAATGATTCAATAATTTTGTCACTTTCATGAAATGATTTACTCCCATTGCTCACTAGAGGGTAGGCTTGGGATTATAATAAGAGTGTTCTATAGTGATACTGCAATAGATGCACTGCCCATATCAGGTAGAAAAAGAAAAGGGACTATTACAGAGTTATACTAATTTCTAATATCCATAAATCTGAAACGGTAGTTTTCATTATAGACTTTTTTTCTTGTAGAAGTGGGAAGGATTTTTTATGTGCTGTTTTTTTGCTCTGTTTTGGGCTTAATAGACTTAAGACTTTCACTGAAAGCTCGTAGCGTATCAGTATACTGTGGATACACAATGCAATATGTTGGGTTATGTGTTCTTTGATATTCTAAGTTACAGAATAGCAAAATGAAAGGAATCCTAGGTTGCATTATTTTATTTGGTAATAGTATCCTGTACCTGTAAAGAAGAGGACTTGGAGAACAAGAGTGTATGTATAGAATTATATGAACTCTTCTGGCTAAAAGAATAAATGTTCTAACCTTGCTTGTAGGAGTAAGTCTTGTGGATAATCAGTTTTCAGTGGTTTTAATTGTGGTTGAGAAAAACTTTTATATGCAGTAGTAGCTGTGCGCATGTACTTAATTCACTATTAGCATACTTGCAGATAGATGCTTGTAGCATAGTTATGTGGTCAAATTAATTTCCCCACTGAGCAGCACTCATGATTGTTTTGTTTTGGGTTTTGTTTTTTTGTCAACTTAGGAAAATAATGTGTGTATATAACATAGTGAAACATAGATTCTGCAATAAGATTCAAACTAATTTTTGAGACTGTGTTAATTTTCTGTTGTATTGAACCATAATGAAGATTCTGTTTGTTCTGCTTTAGCTGTAAATCTCAGAAATACTGAACCGACATTCTCTGTTTTTTTCTTGCTGTTGCTTTTTCACTTGTAACGTGTTGAACTTAAAGTGGCATCTTTAGACTCTGTTATAGAAATGCTTTTTAAAAATTCAAGTCTGTTAGTTAACTTGCACAATTTGGGATGCCATAACTAACGAGGTTTACAGAGAGAGCAGTTTATCTTCTTACTGTGTTTAATCTCTCATTGTTGTGGTACTGAAGTGCTGAACCATAATTTCATTTGTGTATGTGGTTTATTCATTTTCCCTCTTTTGGGAAATTCAAACACATTTATTTATTTATTTATTTATTTGCTGTGTTGTGAAACTGTAGTGAAAGCAGTATTGAGAAGATGGCATTGATTGCAGTGATTTCTGTTACAGAATTATCGGCATAGTGTAGTGAAGACCATGTATTGACCTTGAGAAAGTTCTTACTTCACTTGCACATGGGCTATAGGAGATAGTTCCACGCTGCAATACTGTTATGTTGCAAAGCAAAGATCAGGCTGTTTGCGTAATATTGTCATTTTTGTTTAGGCTGCCATATCTGTTCTTCCTGTGGTGGCATGCAATTGTTATCTAAGCCAGGAAAGAATAAAGAGAATTTTCTTGCAGCTCAGAATAGGAGAATAATAGTAATAGCAATTTTACTACTTGTCCTGCAGTTGCTCACAGATTCTACGTTATATCCTCAGTTGAGGCTCTTTCATCCCTTTTAATAGTAAAAAGCCTCCACTGATTTTAAATAAATAAATCACTTTTAATGAAACAGGCAGAAAATTACAGTGCTAGGCTGTAAAATAAGCTTAATCTTCCTCTTTCACTAAATGATCCCATCTAATCTAATCGGTTGGTTTATTACTGCTTTCTTTCTATGCAGTTTGTCTGATTGCAGAATATAGAGAGTTAAATACAGTAATAGTATTTAGAATGCTCACAGTATGTTTTTCTAATGTTTGCATGACTGTAAAACAGGAAAATCTTGGCAAGTTCATTGTTTACTAAATAACAGAGAATATTTTAGAGCTGTGTACAGAAAAGAGGTAGCAGATTCTTACACGTTTAAGTTATATATAATTTTAGGACTTTACTAAAAACATTTTCTATAGAGATGAAATATTCAACAGAGCCTGTCTTTTAAAGGCAGTACAGCTCTAGATGTGTATTCGGTTTGCACTATTGAATTGTATGTTTTGTTCTCCTCTAGCATTTACTGTTGTTGTGTTATTGCTCTTGTATAATCCTATAGCAATTATGCTCTGATTCTTCCTTAATGATTCTTGTGTCTCTTCTGTGTTTGTCTGAACCTGCTAGTTTTCTGTTGTGTTTAAGGTTTATAGGTAGCCATGTTTCTCTGCTGGACTTGCTTGGTAGTATGCTTTCCTTTTTTTGCGTGAGTTGCTGATTGTAGTAGCTTTCCATTTCACTATCGTATTCTAGACCAGTGTGATGCTTTTCTATGTAACAGGTATGTGTGCTGTATGTGGGCCTCCTTAAAGAATTTTGCTTGAGGGCATGTGGCTGAAAGAACCTCTTTGAAAATGCAAACTTCAGACACTTGATAGTTAAATACCCTATATAGAATTTGAAATTCTGAGGATGTATATATATTTTTTTCTTTTAGACTTTGACTTCAGTGTGCCAGGGTCAATGAAACTTCACAATCTTATCTCTAAACTGAAGAAATGGATCAAAATTCTGGAGGCAAAAACTAAACAGCTTCCAAAGTTCTTCCTCATAGAGGAAAAGTGCCGCTTTCTAAGTAATTTTTCAGCTCAAACTGCAGAAGTAGAGATACCTGGAGAATTCCTTATGCCAAAGCCAACACATTACTACATCAAGATAGCAAGGTAACCTAAAAATATCCTTTGGTAGTTGTAATTCTGAAAACAAAGAAGAAAATGAAAACCTCTTCCATCTGTCCACTCTGCAAAAATCAATGTTGTGTACATTTCATATATTTAAGTTACATATACAGAGTTATACTTTGGTATAACACCTTTATTTTTTGATTTTACCCTCCTTTGGTAATTTTACATTGCCTTACTAAGCAACTGTACTGTTATATGAAGAGTGTATTTGGTTTTCTTTTATGTTGGTATAAGTTGAGATTAGTTCTTCTGTTGTAGTCAGTGAGGTATTATTCTTCAAAATAGTGATAAAGGTCTGATCTAATGATTAATCTTGCTCAAGAACTGTGTTTGCTTGATAACAAAATCAAACAGAAGAGCTTTTTGACTACAAAATAGAAACCATGGGCTGGCTGGATAATAGAATTGTACCTTCTAATACTGTTGCACTGCCTTATTTCTTTGGTGGTTTGTTTTGTTTTGGTTTTGGTGGTTTTTTTTTTTTTTTTTTTTTTTTTTTTTTTTAAATATCATGATTTAATATCAGGGGAGATTAGCTCAGGTGCTTTAATATCCCTTTCTTCCTGATAGGTTCATGCCCAGAGTGGAGATAGTTCAGAAACACAATACTGCAGCTAGAAGACTCTACATCCGAGGCCATAATGGAAAGATTTACCCATATCTGGTAATGAATGATGCTTGCTTGACAGAGTCTCGTAGAGAAGAGCGGGTATTACAACTTCTTCGTCTTTTGAACCCCTGCTTAGAGAAAAGGAAGGAAACCACAAAAAGACATTTGTTTTTTACAGGTACTGAAAAGAGAGATTTTATATTATTTTAAAATATATGTTATACTCAAAGATTGTAATTGCTAAGTTTTTGACAGCTACTAATCACCGATACTCAAGTTTTTGAATATTCAGAAAGTATACATCTGTCTAAGTGATTAGTCTTTTCTGGCATTGTAGCACCCCCTGAAGAAGTAAAGTTGATTGCATGTGATCTAGGGTGTTTTTAGAAGAGCTTACATGCATCATTTATGGTTTAAAGTTCAGTTATGAATAACATATATAAGGCAGAGTCATGCCTATTGGATCTGTTGCTATGGAAATGGATACATGTACTTCAGAACAAGCATTTAGATACGACTGGGGAGGGAGAGAACAAAACTTTTTCTCCCCAAGTTGCAATATATGAATATTGAATTTCTTTTACCTCTTCCATGTAACACAGAAGAAGAAAGAATTTTTTTGTAGAGCTTTGAATTTGATATATAGTTTCTGAATTCTCTGATATATGAGAACATATCTTTGTAATTTTTGAAGTAACTTTATATATCCATGGTGATGTTTACTTTCAGGAATATATACTGAATGGTTAGTTGTTGCCAAATAAAACCCATTCATATTGTAGATATTGGATGCAGGACTTCTGTTGAGCATACTTCTATGATCCTGTAAAAGTTTACTTGGTTTGAAGAGTGCACTTTGCCAACAGCACCACCTGGCAATGCTTAACATTACAGAACTAACAAACATAATGGTAGGGAGGCCTTAATGAGGAGGGTTAAGGAGGGTTCCAGTATGATTTATGTGTATAAATTGCCAAAATATTCACCTAATGAAAAGGTCATGTATTTAGGTATTTCAAAACAGAAACAGTGAATGAAGGCTGAATACAGTCTTAATTCTTTCTCTTTCCTTGTGTATCTTGGGTTTTTCATGTGTCCATTATAAGTAATTTGGCAGTGTGCCCAGGTGGCCAAGAAGGCCAATGGCACCCTGGCCTCTATCAGAAATAGTGTGGCCACAAGGAGTAGGGAGGTGATTGTGCCCCTGTCCTCGGCCCTGGTGAGGCCACACCTCGAATCCTGTGTTCAGTTTTGGGCCCCTCACTACAAGAAGGACACTGAGGTGCTGGAGCGTGTCCAGAGGAGGGCAACGAAGCTGGTGAAGGGTCTGGAGAACAAGTCTGATGAGGAGCGGCTGAGGGAACGGGGGCTGTTTAGCCTGGAGAAGCGGAGGCTGAGGGGAGACCTCATCGCGCTCTACAGCTACCTGAAAGGAGGTTGTAGCGAGGTGGGGGTTGGTCTCTTCTCCCAAGTAACCAGCGATAGGACAAGAGGAAATGGCCTCAAGTTGTGCCAGGGGAGGTTTAGACTGGACATCAGGAAAAACTTCTTTACTGAAAGAGTAGTCAGGCCTTGGAACAGGCTGCCCAGGGAAGTGGTGGAGTCACCACCCCTGGAGGTGTTTAAAAGACGTGTAGCTGAGGTGCTTAGGGACATGGTTTAGTGGGCATGGTGGTGTTGGGTTAACGGTTGGACTTGATGATCTTAGAGGTCTTTTCCAACCTTAATGATTCTATGATTCTAATTCATTCATGAAATGAGAAACAGAGAATATCAGTCTCACCTGGCAACATGCTAGATCTGCTTGTGATTCAAATACTAATGTAAATGCTTTAAAAGAGTTAAACTCTTGTGTTTTCCAGATACTAAGTCTGTGTTGGCAAGTTCCAGCTTACAGCTGTGTAGCTAATTCATATTAATGTATAAATACTTTTCATTTCAGAAGGTCAATGAATCACTTACTAACTTCATATAAATGAGTCTTGTACATTGCATTAGTCAGTTCTAATAATCCTTGGTTGGTGAGCAGGAAATATATTATGGATAAGGGAAACTTTAATCAAAGACACTAAGACAAAGCTGCTACTTTGCTGTTGTCCTTTTAAAAAGTGCTGAGATCTGATTTTAAAAAAGTATGGTTTTATCAGTCCTCCTTTTTGGGCTAATAGTATCTATTGACATGAAGTTGCTGTCATGAGCTTAGGTGGCCAGATGATGGAAGTTGCACTTACAGAGCTAGAAATGCATATGTGAGTTCTAACTTTAAAAAGACCAAAATGTACAAGCCAAAGGATTTGTTATAACAAAAGGTAAATATAGTATCTCTACATATGTGAAGACGATTTTGCATCACTCTGAGGCCAAAATAACAAAAATGCAGTAGATAAAGCCTTGAAAGATATAATAAATAAGGCCACTGATACAGAAATATATCCTCTGTATAACATGATTAGTAAAGTAACATGTTTTCTGTCAAAGAGCTGTTTTTAAACTACAGTGTTTTTGGAAATAATTCTGTACCTTGTGGTTTGATACTATTTGAAAGAACCTAAAGAACATTCATTTCTCTGCTGCTAGAGGTTAATGGAAGCAGACCAGAAGAAATAGCTCATTAACACCCCTTCTGCAGAATGCATTTTCTTTAAGATTGAAGAAATTACATCAAACAATTTAAATGCATTTAAACATCCTTTCCGTACATTTCTGAGGTTAATTATTACAGCTTCTGGAGGAAATGATGAAGGAACAGTTTTGGTGGTAACTGGAGGTTGCTGTCAAACATTACAAACAGTGTCACTGGAAAAGCTAGCTATGGAAGAGGCCTTGTCTGTCTTGATGTAGGTGGGGATGCACATAAGACTCAGTAGGATGATACATCTGTTGAGCAGCGTGAAACTCCAAATAGGGTTTTTGCAAGTTTACTGCTCATCAAGGAAAAGCTCAGTGGCTTAAGTTTTCTTATTATTGAATATTTTGTTGTGTCTTTCCTACGTTATTTTCATTTAAACATTTATTCCTCAACTATGTTCAGATTTTTTTTTCCTCCAGTTTTTCTGAATCACTTTAAATACCCTATTGAGTTTACTAGTGTTCTTCTTCAGAGTAATTTTTATTGACATAATGCCAGTGTCATGTAATCAGATGTTACAAATCCATTTGCATCTGAACAAAGTATTACCCTCTTTTCTGCAGGTAAAGAAAAGTAGGAAGAATAACGAGTGCTCAATTTTTTTTTCTAATATAGTTGATGTTTCTGTTAAGATAAAAAAAAAATCTGCTATCATACTTTCTTTTTAACTGAGCTTGTGAATTAGTTATGAGTGTAGTAATAAAAATTTTCTCTTGGTACACTTCAGTTGATTATCACAGTCGTGTTTTAAGGGCTGATACTTGCATACTAATTCTTCTCTTAGTATTTGGGTTATGGATTAACTGTTTTGTTTTGGTTTGCTCTCTCTGCTGCTCCCCTCCCCCATCCTCTCTCACCCTTTTCAAATTACTCCTAGTCCCCCGTGTTGTAGCAGTTTCTCCACAGATGCGCTTGGTTGAAGACAATCCCTCTTCTCTTTAAGATCTATAAGCAACGCTGTGCCAAGAAAGGCATTGAGCACGACAACCCTATTTCTCGTTACTATGACAGACTGGCAACGGTCCAAGCACGGGGGACTCAAGCTAGCCATCAGGTATTAGAATATATAATGAATTTTAATCAAGGGCTTTTCTTGAGTACTCTACTATACTGTCTCCAATCCCCTCCCGCCCCGACTCTTCACCCGTCATTAGATGCGAGATAGATTTATTTTGCAGACGTGGTGTTTTGAATTTTTGGGGTTTATTTTGTTTTTGCATAATGTATTCTTGGGAACTCTTCTATCTCTCTGGTATTTTAGATTATCTTGGAAAGCTTCAAAAAAGCTGTATTTGTTTTAGTCTAAGTTGTTTTGGGTAACTGCAACTGAAAACAGACAAGATGTTGATTGCTTTTTGGCCCTTTAGTATAGTGCTTTGAAAATAATTAATTGATAACATGGGAAACAGCATTCCTAATTTACATAAGCAGTTACAGCATGGTATGTGATGCGAGTTCCCCATCTTCTTCCAATGTATCTCCTAAAATCGCCAGAGGATTAATTTAATCTAAGTCGAATAAAAAGAGTTGAGTGATCTCACCCTAATAAATGATAGTACTCAAAGAACAAAGCTCCCTCTCTCTGTAACCTCTAACAAAAATCAATAATAACCTTATATGATAAATAAACTTATTTTACATTTTTTATCTTAAGGTTAATGCAAATTCTTACATAAAATGCCAGTCCCATTTCAAATACAGCTATTAGAAAATCCATGGTATGCATGTATCACAGACATCATTTAGAGAAACTGTCTTTTCAGGCTTTCTTTGTTACAAAACAAAATGAAGTGTTACATAATATCTGTTTCTATTTTGCAAATTTTTCCTTCAGGTTATGAAACTCTTTAACAGCCGTTTAATTGAAGTCAGTGTGACTATCATGCTTTCTGGTGTAATAGAGCAAATCCTAACTTTATTTCTTTTTCTAATTAATTAAGCTAGTATTTGCTACAGTAATTAAATGTTTTGGTAGATTGCAAATGTTTACATCTAAGGAAAAAACTATTGCACAGTGTTCACTTACACAAACAGTTGAATACAGCTCTCAGCTTTTATCTTTTTGTATTTTTGAGGTAATTTTGCTATAATAATACATGTTACAAATTACTTTACCCAGTGTCTATCCCTATCTCGTGTAATAAAAATCCTTTGCCTTTTACCCTGTATATGAAGAAACCATGCAGAGAGCCATCTTTAGGTTGCATGCTTTGTAGGTCCCACGTATAATTTCAAATCTTGCCATTATGCTTAAAATAAAGGATTTTATTTTATTGCTGCAAAATGCATATCCAGCTTGCACTGAAGCTAGACAATAGTGAAGTGTGTTCCGTTAGTTTCCTATAAGGAAGTGCAGCATTGTGAGATGAACTTTTCTTCAGCTCACTTCTGATTTTCTTGAAAGTCTTGAATAGAAGATACTTCAAATCAGGTTATATAACTTTAGTCTCAGGTTTTCTGACATGTCTGTTTGCAGTTCTCAGGCTTATATGGTTTTATTAAAAATTTAGCCTTTTCAGGTAAAGAATATTTTCTAGCTGTGCGGAGGATGGGCTAGCAAAATATTATGTGTGCTTTGACAAAGAAGTCAGGAAACAGCGTTGGATTGAAAGCGTCCAAGTTCAGGATGTTTTTCCTAAAATGGAATACAGCAGTTGAGAGGAGAAGTTTGGTAGTTGCTTTTGGCATATTTGTCTGTTACTAAGAAGTGTATTAAAAATGATCTCTTTCAACTAATATTTTTCATATGTAGGTTCTCAGAGATATACTTAAAGAAGTACAGAGTAACATGGTGCCACGCAGTATGCTTAAGGAGTGGGCTTTACATACATTCCCCAATGCTACGGATTACTGGACTTTTCGAAAGATGTTCACTATTCAGTTAGCCCTAATTGGCTTTGCAGAATTCATCTTTCATTTAAATAGACTCAACCCTGAAATGCTGCAGATTGCCCAGGTATGCTTTAGTTTGTTCTAGATGCATGCTGTCGTCTTTGATCAAATGGAAATTTGGACTATACATTTGAAATGAGCCAAAATGGTAATTTGACATATGTAATTAACAGTGCATTTCAGTAGGCTTTTCATTTATATGTGATTGCACATCATGTAGGTAGTAATTTAAACTGTGGACATCAACTCTACCTTCTGTGTTGAGAATTCAGAACTTTGTCTGTAAAATTGTTCTTAGATATTGGAACTGTTCATGTAAATGGCTGATAAGTCTCTCTTTTTAGTCCTCCTTCAAATATATTGCTTTGAATAGATCTCTGTGTCAAACAGATTTAAAAAAAAAAAAAAAAAGAAAAAAATAAAATTTAGAGCTTCATTTTCTTAAAGGGAAATACCCTTTTTTCAAATACTGTTCTCTTTTCAGCATTGCCATCACGTCAAGCTACACTCCTATTAATAGTGATTTTTCTCTTTTAGACCAAAATTTAAAATGAGGCTTGCCACCTTAGTAGGGCAAAGGTGGTATATATTAAAGTCTTGATGCCGTTTTAATGCATGGAGGGCTATACTCTGTATAGCAATTAAGATTCTTTAATCCCTCTAGATAAGCGTTCGGATACTTACCCAGAGTGAACAATGCATAGAGAACGTTTACCCAGAGCTGGGATGCATAGAGACCAGAGATCTGTCTATCTGCACGACTCTATAAAGACCACAGTACAGAAGAATCTATTCCTTAAGTTTGATGTTACAATAATGTGTATTTAGTAAAGGTTTTTGGACACACGTTTTGAGAGAAATACATACCTGACTTTGTGCATGCCCTTAATTTTAACTTTTTTGCTTTGACTGAAAGCGTGAAAAGCTATTAGAGTACTATTTGTACTCTGAGTATTAACAGTAAACAAAAATCCAACTTCTTTTGGCTTCATTAATGAAAATCTGTTCCTTTAATTACTCTTGTGCATCTTGCTTTTAAATCCAGGATACTGGCAAGCTAAATGTAGCTTACTTTCGCTTTGACATTAACGATGCTACTGGAGATTTGGATGCCAATCGTCCAGTTCCATTCCGGCTTACACCAAACATTTCTGAATTTCTTACCACCATTGGGGTGTCTGGTCCACTGACTGCATCTATGATTGCAGTAGCTCGCTGCTTTGCACAGCCAAACTTTAAGGTTTGTATACCTTTTGAAAAGTTGTTTGCAGGCATGTTATATTTTGCAATTTATAAACTTAGCAGCACTTTCTTGGTCAAGGTAGAAACTAAACAGTCTGTATTTGTTTTTAAATCTTACCCTAAGGTCATCACGAAGGCCAGCTGAAATGTTTGCAATTTGCCATTTTGGAAAGAATAGGAGGAAGATAGGTATAATTCTACCCTTAATTTAATTTTTTTGTCCAAACATGTTAATTCAGACTGATTGTTTCAGTGCTCTTCCCTCATAAATCCTTACAAATTCTGGCAGTGGTAAATAGTAAAATGACATATGCAACATCATTTAGAATCTTGATAATAATCTGTGAATAGAAATGTCTCTTGGCCCTTTGTTAGTGGAATAGAATGCTAAAGATATACTGTTACTTTGATGGATTCTAGCTCTTAGCAGGGCGTAGTTTTCTAAAGAAATTGTCTAACTTCCTTTTAAATTCTAATGCTTTCCAAAAATGAGACATCTTGCCACTTAGGCAAGCAATTTGCACCAGAAAGACATTGCAAAGAACATACTGTAGCTATGGTGAGAGCTAGTTACTTTTTAAAAGATGGAAAATATCCTAAAGTGATTTTTTTCTTTATCTATAATACAGAAAGCTGTGTTAGAATATTTTTTTCATAATTCATCATCTTACCTTACAAAGCCATGTCTATACATGCAAATGAATTTGCAGACATAGCCTGTAATTTCAACATGTGAATGATGTATGCCCAATTAGACTTGCCACATTGATTTGGTGCAGCCCCTTCTTGAGTACTGTGTGCAGTTTTGGGTGCCTCAATGTAAGGAGGACATCAAACTATTAGAGTGTGTCCAGAGAAGGGTGACAAAGATGATGAAAGGTCCTGAGGGCACAACTTCCGAGGAGCGGCCTATGTCACGTGGTTTGTTCAGCTTGGAGAAGAGAAGGCTGAGGGGTGCCCTCGTCAGTCCACAACTTCCTCAGGGGGGGCAGTGGAGGGGCAGGTGCTGATCTTCTCTCTCTGGTGACCCGCGATAGGACATGAAGAAATGGAATGAAGTTGCGTCAGGGGAAGTTCAGGTTGGACATTAGGAAAAGGTTCTTCACTGAGGGGGTGGTTTGTCACTGGAACAGTGGCCCCGGGGAAGTGGTCATGGCACCAAGCCTGTCAGAGTTCAAGGAGCATCTGGACGACACTCTTAGTCATATGGCTTAGTTTTAGGTAGTCCTACGAGGAGCAGGGAGTTAGACTCGGTGGTACTTACGGGTCCCTTCCAACTTGAGATATTCTATGATTTCTTGAAGATCAGAGTATAGGTGCTGATTTATTCTTTTTGGAGCAATGGATGCCCAGCTCAGTTCAGGCATATGGCGATTATTGCTTTAGATTATCTATCTTTTGGACTTAAGAGGAATGCTTTTAACATTTTCTGCTTTTATCTTTTTTACAAATGTCCATAAAATATATTTAATATGTGTTTGTGTATGTTGGCCCAATACCTATATGTGTTATAAAATGTTTTATTTGTTATGTGCAAAGAGTGAATTTGACTCGGACTGGATACCTAAAAGTTTGTTCTAGAAGCTCAAGACTGTTGGAGTTGACAGATTAATGTCAGTAACTCAACTCAGTGATGAGAAAAATCAGGAAACTATTTGTTGCAGGCATTTCTTTTTCACCCAAGGATAGAACTGGCCTATATATATATATATATGTGTATACATATATATATTATATACATATGTATGTATGTTGCAGTCAGTATTCTTTCCCTGTTTGGCAGAAAACAGTATTCTCTGAGAGCATAATCATTGTGCAAAAAAACCCCAGCTTTGCAAAGCACTCTTCATCTTTGCACAAGACTTCTGTGTATGCGTGCATGTGTGTGGGAAAAGTCATAAATTTAGTGGAGTCATTTCAAAAGAGAATATACATGACTGTGTGTACGAAGGTCTTAATATACATTATAGTTTATGTGATTTTTTCATTTCTGTAGGAGTCATTGTATTGTGTTTTCATAATTAAAGCTTTTTATGAAAAGAAACACCTTGAGAGGATGTAGTAAAGATAGTTGAAACCACGCTCATCTTGAAAAGGCTGAGATTGCAATGCGGGACCAAAAGTGTCAAAATGCCGTTGACTAAATTCTAGTTGCAATTCTATAATCCCTGATGGTTCTTTGGATTAAATATAATAATCTGATTTTTCTCCTTCATATAGGTTGATGGCATCCTAAAAACTGTGCTACGGGATGAGATAATTGCATGGCACAAAAAAACACAAGAGGATACTTCCTCTCCACTCTCAGCAGCTGGGCAACCCGAAAATATGGACAGCCAGCAGCTGGTTTCACTGGTTCAAAAAGCTGTTACTGCTATCATGACTCGACTTCATAATCTTGCTCAGTTTGAAGGAGGAGAAAGCAAAGTTAACACTCTGGTAGCAGCTGCTAATAGCTTGGATAATCTCTGTCGTATGGATCCTGCCTGGCACCCCTGGCTGTAACTTGAAATTTTCAATAGCTTTTTTTGCTGCTGTTCGTGGTGTGAGCCATATATTGTGTTAAGAAAATGTGAAAAAGCTTTCCAGACCATGGCTTACCTGTCACACTGCATTTTGTCAGTCATCATTTTAATTGTGTTTACAGTAATGACAATTTTACTGTTTTTAATTTCATGAGGGGACATTTTCTCCTGTTTAAGAAAGGTTGTTTAATATGCAACAACAGCTTTCACAAATAGCTTAAAATGAAGAGAGGAAACTTAAGTAATGTAGAGAAAAATCTTGTTTTATGATGAGGACTATAAAACTAGCACTGTTAGATTTAGGGTCTGTCATTCCTAATAGCCTGCAGTATATAAATTTTTTATACAATAGTAATTATTAAAAATAAAAAAAGACAGTATTCCCAGTTACTGAATTTTACTTTGTGAAATTTTACTTAGTCACTGTCCCTTCATTATACCAAATTGAAGGCACAAATAAATACTCTTCCTTTAAGTTTTCTTCAGATTTACGTGAGCAAAGTTGGTTTGTACAGAGAATTTTGTACCAAATGTATAGAGGTGACTTTGTTAGGCACTGAGAAAATGATGATCAAATTGTTCTAGCTTTTCTTGGAGCACAAGCTATGTACAGTAAAAGTGTAAACCATTTAGAGTATTTGGTTTAGTTGTGGACAGTGTTTGGGGGGGGTAAGTTTATAAAAAGGATGGAAAGGATGGAAAAAGTCATCCTTTGATACATGTATTTGGCTGCAATAGATAAAAAAGTAAAATCTTATGAAGTTCTCTTTTTTTTTTTAATGTTTAGAATTACAATAGCTTCTTTAGAATGAATCAGTTTCTTTGTAATTTAAGAAAAGATCAGTTTAATGTTTCACTTGTCTTTCTGTTGTGTTAGCATTTTTATAAAACTTCGATGTTGAGAATGTTAAATTTGTACAGAGTGATTTTTTCAAAATAAATATTTTGTTAAACTCTCTATAGTATTCATTTTATTTAGAATATTATATATTTTATAAAAAATACATTTATTTTTTATAGAATGTTTAGTCCATTATACCGTGGACTAAATAGAAAAGACCCAAAAGCAGGTGTAATCTTTAATAAATGAAAACAGCCTGTATGTTAAGGGTGATAACTGTATTAATGAGACGTGGTTGTGATGTTCTCATGTATGGTGTTGAATTTGTTTACAGAAGAGCTGCAAATAGGAAGTATGTATATGACAAGAATTTTTTCATTCAGTGTTTCATTCATTTTCTTCCTAGCCAGTCAATTAATGTGTTAACCATCTGTTCTCTAAAAGTCTTTCTTTAAACAGAATATTTCGTGTCTACAAGAAATTCAGCTTTTAAGTAATTGTTCAGAGGTCAAGATTATATCTGCAGATGAACTCTATCAGGAGATTTCTGCTACTCCCACAGAAACAAAGATGATGTTGATTGCTATAGCAAACGATGAGTAACTGTCTGGTGGTGGTTGTTTCACGTGTTTTGGTTTTTTTTTTTTCTACTTTTAATTAGCAGTCAACAGGTTCTTTAGAGATTTCAGAATAACATGAGAGGCATAATTGAAGTTAATTGCCACCATTCAGTATTGTACTGTCTGTGAGACAAGGGGAATTTCTAAAAGCCCATCTGATGACTTTTCCTGGGTGGGTGAGCTCTACTTGCAAGTTAACAGATGAACATCATCTAACTCACTGGTTACCTGCAGATTAAGGCTTGCAGTAGGTATGGCTGTAGTCAAGTCATTATTTAAAAACAAAGCAACATATGCTTTTCAGAGGTCTCTTACAGAGTTGCAAAAAGACCTGTTCCTTTCATCTTTTTGCAGCCATTAGCAGAACTATTCAAATGATACGGACTTGAGTGTCAGCATTATGCAGGGGTACATGTCCCTCTCTACTGGTCATCTTATACGACAGTTCTGCTAACACCATAAGCAGCACTGAACCTGGTGCAGAGACAAGCGAGGCTGATGGACAGAAAGTGCTATGAATGTATGCATATACAAATCTATATATAAATACACACACAGACAGAGTTTGCATCCATGACTGTAATACGTACTCAAAATTCTTTAGTTAAGTTGATGAATTTAAACCCATTTGAAGGTTGAGTGTTAAATAGTTTTTTTTTTTTTTACTGTATGTTTGGCTCAGAGGTGTCACTTTGTGACGTCAGACAGATCTCAGCTATCAGTTATATGCTCAGTCTTCATTACCTTTCAGGTGGGATATTCCAGTGTTGTACTGGGCATGAAGCCTTTGGTGGTTAGTACAGAGTATTTTGCTATATGTTAGTTATGCATAAATGTTACAGTACGTGCCAATTAAACATAGTATATAGGATAACGTATAGTTTTGCTGGGTTAATTTATGAATTTGCACCTGTTCTTTACTTTTTGGCTAGTAACGAGCTCATCTAATATTAGAAATGAAGATACCTTGCACTCCAACTTAAATGCATTTTTTTTCCCTTTGGGATATAACTATAATATAGCAGGAAAAATAAAAAGGCAATTTTGAAAATGGAAATTCAGATATTATTCACTTGTAAATGAAAAGGAAAGCTTTACCCTTAGCTCTCATAAATTAAAAGTAAATGTGCAATAATGAATTTATGGAAAAATGTCATATTTTTAGAGAAAAAGCCTGGAAAATAAATGAATTTTCTATTTTTGTTGTAAAATACAACACAATATTAATGAACGGTGATAAATTCAGCTTATTCAGTGTAGGAGTTGTAATAATCTAATCCTAGAAGTTTTGGAATAAAAAGCAAATTGGAAATACTTGTTCGCTGGCTTAAACTGCAACTGCAGTAATGCATTATATGTTTCTCTGAAATGATTTCACTTAGAGGATTTCCCATGCAAGTTTCTTTTCAATTCTTTCCTAGGTGAGATGGACCAGAGCTTTTCCCAGCTGAATCACTGCTGCCTTTCCCATTAGTTGGTTTGAGAACCTTAGCAAGAGCAAAGGGACTCTCATCAAGCAATTCATGATTTTCCTAGGTGTCTACCTACTTCTTCCTTGGGTCCAGAAGAGTCAGTAGCAGATAAGGTCCAGCAGAAGCAGATGGTAAGCATTCAGCCCTTGAAAGTTTGAAAAAGAGTGGTAGCCAACTGGTTGACCCTAAACCGTAGCCATGTGATGACAGGTAAGGCAGGTCAGTTTGTGGACTTGAGATGCAGGCATTTAGATCAAGGGGATCAAGCCTTTCTGCTTAACATAGTTCTTACGTGGGTCAAAGGATTTGCTGGGGGATTTGTCTGGGAGGAAGAGTTTATTACTTCTCACCAGATACCTTTTGTTCTAGATCATGGTTCTGTTTCCTTGTATGATGAGTAAAGCGTCGCCCCTTTATTCCCACACTTGGTTTTTGTGCTCCTTAAATATTGAAGAGAGGATGATAGATTGAGTCATGCTGTATGCCAGTATATACAAGTGGAAGCTCAAATACATGAGTGGTAAGGACTATATAAGGATTTGGAAAACAAACATATATTTTTTTGGCGAAGACTTGCTTCCTTATCAAAATCATGTTGGCAGGAAGAATCTGAACTTTCTTCTTATAAAACATAACACTTCCTGCATGTGTCACAACATACTCTATATGCAGTCATTCACAACTAAGCTTAGTGCTTTTGTGACTTGAAGGGAATTGTTGGCTTCCTTTTACTGAAGATTGTAACATTTGTAGCTGTGAAATATGGCACATGCTGCATCAGAGGAGTTGCAGTATTTTTCCTTAATCATTTGCATGTCTTAGATATGTCCGACTGCGAGAGATGACAGCATTACCTGAAAGGAAATCATCAAATAATTCAGCTACTTTTCTGTTCATGATAGAAATCGTAATGGAAAAATGAGAATGTAAATCAAGAGAGACAAACTTTGTTGTTTTTAGATTTGTGAGGTCTCTCTTTTTTATTCAAATATACTCCTAAAAGAAAACTTGGTGTGTGAGGGAGCAGTGCTGATAGGGAAAAGAGAGTTATTTTAATGAGGTCCCTGACGGTGTTAATGTGCAAATGTTCATACTTGGTTCTCTTCTTTCATGAATATATGCTGTGGATTTACATTATTTTGTGAGAAAGCTTACACAGTCTTATCCCAGAGTTTTACCACTGGCTCCAAGGAGGTAAATCCTGAAAGCTTTTAGTTATATATGAGCATTCTTCAGAGTCTAGAGGAAATCTTCTGGCATATCTTGTATGATCAGCAACTGTCCATTAGCAGGTAAGTGGTTTGACATAGTACGGTATATGAAGTTCCTGATTATCTTCAAGAACATGTGGCATGTATCTTAGCTGCATTTAATTTTTTATGATTGTAGATAAGGGTTCCTTCTTGTCTCATTAGTTCAGATATATGCTCAATATGCATCTTGCTGAGCAGATACTTGAAAGTGAAATACATTAATTGTCAATTCACTCTAAGTGTTCCCTTTAAGGTTTCTTCCCTCAGATTAGATATTACACAAAAACCCATGTTACTACTCTGTAAAATCAAACGCTTGAGAATTAAGAGAGAACAAAGTTTCTGAAGTTGTTTGCATGGGCGTTATGCCATTCTTAAAATTCCTCCTGTTGTGTTTTTGGGTTTTTTTTCCCTGTAGAGCCCTGGACAGATTTGCTGGATCTTCATGAGAGTAACTATTGACAAGTCTTTGACACCAAAGTTGTGCTAGCCATATTTTAAGTCTGTATGAAATGCATAGAGATATACATGTCGGTAGACTTTCGCACACATACCTGTTGGTGTGAAGTGGGCTTTATGGTAGGTCGCTCGAGTGACAGAAATCTTAGTAACTAAGAAGCAGATTTGGCATGAAAAACTGTAAGCAACAATGTGAGCTGTGGATTTTACATGGAGAATAAATAGTTGTCAGGTTTCTCATATTATACTGGATTATTTCAGTCTCCTGATTTTTGTAATCATGTTTGGCTCCGTCTTTATTAGGCGATGCTGCAGCAATTTAACCATTTATTATTACAGTCTGCTCTCAAAGTAGATTATCAGAATTCATTTGCTTAAGTGAATTGTACTCCAAAACAAAATCATTTAACATTAGTTGGGTGTTTGAGTCCACCCTCTGAAACTGGTATGCTGCTTCCCTCTCCTGTAATTGGGCTGTTCAAGAATTGTCAGATACAAAGAGAGCGAGCAAAAGATTAGTTATTACTGGAAGAAGATGACTCAAAGCATTTCAGCAGCAGACAATGAAAGCTCTGTTTCGTAATGGCAGTAGAATAAAGTTG